AAAAAAAGAGGCGGTGAAGCCCTGTGCGAGAAACATACAAAAGGCCGTGGAGCCCTGTGAAGAAAGACATCAAGAGGTCGTGAGGACCAAAAGTAGAGATCAAAGAGGATCCACCCAAGAGGCTGCCAATGCCCGTTGCAAGAATAAGCCCTGTCTGGACCGAAGCGTCCGCAGGCACAGGTGGTTTAGTGGGTCTCAGGTTGTGTGCTTTTACCTCCTTGGGTTTTGCCCGGGGTTGGTTAGGGCCTCCCCTCCCGAGACCCTCTTTCGTACGTCGTCGTCGTCGTCGTCGTACTCGTGCAACTACTGCCCTTCGGGCTGCCCTAGTTTCTGCCCCCCTAACCCTCGCGATGCCATGGACGCCAACGGGATCGATTGCGACACCGTGGCATGGAGCGGATGGGGCAACACCACGAATGAGGCCATGGTTCATGTGCCTTGCTTGCATGATAGAGTGTGCGTTGCTGGCTTACCCGCAGTCCACACTTCTCTGTTCCCTAGCTTTCTGAAGTCTCTACATGTTGGCTTACCATACATGTATGCAGCTTCGTTTCTCCTCACTTGCTGCGCTGCTATGTGGGGTAGCTTTTGTGTGGGTGCTCTTGTCACTAGAAAGTGTTTGAGCGCCCAGTCGAAACAGGAGTGTGTTAACACTGCTGGGGACTTCGAATCCCCTAAAGAACCTCGCCACTGCTCTCAGCACGAGGCTGCCGTACTGCGCTTGCTCCGTCGAGTAGTGTTTGGAAAGTTTTCACCTGCCAGAAGGGTAAGTGGAGGCAGACGCCTCAAACGCCCTAGACTCAGATGGCGCCGTCGTGCACAACACGTCCGCGTCCTCAGACGTCAGTGGTGGTGTGCTGGGCGCCTGCCACACACACGACTCTCCCCAAAGCCTGAGCAGGAACCTGAGGAGTCCGACACTCAGTTCGACGACTTAGCGTTTTCTTCTCAGGTCAGCTCCCCACTGCAGGTGAGTCGTCGTAGGCGTAGAAAGAGTCTTGTTAGCTTACTGCTAATTGCCCTGGTTGCCGTGGCAGCCTTGTCAAGTGGAGGGTCGTGGACCCTCACAGGTCTAAGTGTCGACCTGGAGCACGACTTCCTGGCTTTTGTCACTGAAGAAAGCCTCAGCGGCTGTACTGTTCAGGTGAGACATGGGCAGTGGAGCTACCTTCACTCCGCTCGTGTTGGGGAAGCCAAGCACCCAGGTCCAGCAGGCTCGAGGAGGACGCGGCGCCTACGCGCCTCGAAGGAGTTTGCTCAGAAAGACTGGGACCCGTGGGTCGCTACCAGGGTAGGTGAGGCCACTAACCCTGGCCCTATGCCTAAACCGAGCCCCAGTAGTGAAGCAAGCCTTGCCTGTGCGCTTCTGGAAGTGCTGAAGAACTTCCAAGCTCAGGCTCCTGCCCCGGTCTCAGCTCCACGGAAGCCTGCTCTCAAGCCTCAGGCCCCAGTGCAAAGCTCCTTGGTTCAGGTGCTGCACTCAGTCCTTGAGGCCGC